CCCTGGGGAGTGATGGGGGCTGAGACACGTTGCTACAACCTCGTAAGGTGGGAAAGTCTAAGCCCTCCATTCAACCTTTGTTGACAGGGGTGGGGCTAGGACCCCAGATTTTTTTCTATGGTGTCAGGTGAGAGTAGAGCAGTTATTGTCTAAAAAGTTTTCTGTCTAAGCTGACCGTTTGTTGGTTCTTGGGCTTTTCTGGAGGCTTTTATTGTTTGTACCATTCATGTTCCTAGTTTGCCAAATTCTCCAGGACCCAGTCTAAAAGATAAGAGGCAAAAAGAAGATCTAGAGGACTAGATGCTGTGTTGCTCCTCGGGTCAGTTAGCAGTCTGCTTTCTTTTCACTTTTCAGAGTCTTCTTATGTTTGTGTTTTACATACAGTGTCCAAGATTTTTAGATGTACTTATTAAGAGGAACAAGGAGAAGTAAGTTTATTCTCTAGTTCCAGAAGCAGAAGTCATGCATAATAACCACTTGATGGCAAGACTTAAATTTTAATTAAAGAAATTAAAATACTGTTATTTCTAAAATATTCTATTTTAGTCTTAAAGACATTTAAAATTAACTCTTATTTCAAGTGTACTTTTCTACATACAGAAAAAATATAAAATAAGCAATAAAATAGTTTTGCAACCTACTGATATAGCCATTTCCTTAGGAAATGTTTTATAATGTGTTCTTTATATTCTTAATTATAAAGTCAAAATTTTAATGTTAGGACAAAATACGTTGAAATGTTTTTCTGACAAACTAACATACTTCTCTAGCTTAATATAAATAATTATGTAACTTATTTTACTTCTATATTCCCTTTCTTACCAGCCCACTCAGATCTAAATTTTGTTCTTAATTTCAATTAATTTACATATTTTAGATTTTTATTGCATTACTACTGCTTAATTATCCTTTGTTATACAGATCTGAGTCTTTGCTTTATGATCTCATGTGTCTGTGATGGAGTCAAAATAAACCATCTTAAATTTATTTTGAAAATAGATGAGGCAGAACAATAGGCTTTCTGAATTTTATTTAGAAAGGACTTTGAAGAGGCAATCTGATAGAAAGGGTATTTTAGGAGACTTTTTAAGCTATATTCATAGAGTGAGTACATTTTATTTACTTAGATTTTTTTTTTCTTTTGTGTGGCTATGAGTTAGAGAAATAGCGCCTCCTCTGTAACCCTCTGACAGGTGCTGTTATTGTCTGCAGAAGTACATTGTTTCATTCATTCATTCATTTAATCAATAAATATTTATATTGAATGCCTACTAAACACTGTTCTAGATGCTGGGGATATAGCAGTCTTCTACTCTCCATTTTAGCAAATGAAAGCAATATGTAACCTGTGCTGTCACGAATAATGCAATTTCTCATAATATTGCACAGGAATTGAAAAGGCACCCAACTGAAGAGAAAAAAAAAAAACTGCAGAGGTTAGACTAAAAGCTAACTCATAAAAACACAAAATTTTGCCTCTAAATCTCATAAATTCTAACTAATAGCAACCAGTAGATTATTAGTAGTATCTCAGTATACATTTTAGCTTTGAGATAAAAGCAAAAAATTGAAGAAGTTAAAAACGATTGAGAAAATAAATTTCAAACAATTTCAAAGTTATTTTCTATAAATTTCTATAAACTTAGATGTTTACTATTTGCCTTTTGAGGGACATTGTTAGATGGTGAAAAGAATCAGAATGGAGCATAAATGTTTATTCTACTATCAATTACCAGTGTGTTACCCCAGGAAGTTATTTAACTTATTTAAGCTTAATTTTCTAACAATAAAATGAGAGTGGAATACTTATCTAGCATGATGGGAAGAATTAAATAATATGCCAAATTTGACTAAACTAGTTCATTGGCTCATCAAAATGACATGTAAATCTGTTTCTCTCCTTTTCCTGTATGCTTATAACTCCCTTTGTCCACATATAAATTTAAGAGGTTTTTAATACTCTTCAACCAACATAAAATTGAAAAAGGCTTAGAATTTTGTCTTCTGCAATTATCTTTTGAGAGCGCTGATTTATAGAGAAGGACCATAATGAAATCTTATTTTAAATGCTTAAATTATTTGAAGAAAATAAGAATTCCTTGTGAAGAAGAAAGAAAGCTGCTAAAAAATCCTCTGAATCAAGTGGAAGTTATTCCTTATTGCCAACATTTTGCAAAGAATAAATAACTCTTGCAGCCATAAAAATGGCTTTAAATAATACATAGAACAGTATACAAAGAATGAACTCCTCAAAGATTCTTTTAACTCACATTTATATTTTGTTTCAACATAATAAACTCTTTTTCCTTATGATTAGAAAATTAATGCATATGTGTTATAAGGGAAAAAAGATAAAGGAAATAAACCTGTTATCATCACATAGAGAGAACATATTTTGCAATATATATTCAGTCCTACATTTATGATACAAAGAAAATTGACATAAAATCCTTCAGATAGCACATAAAATAAAAAGTTTCATAGTTTCTTTTTAAATTACTAAAGGAGAATAAATGACAATAGGGCAAAAATTTCAATACAAACATCCTAGTGGGCATTGCGGGGATAATAGAATGATTGGGTGTAGACACAGAAAATTCTGATGGTATAGTTTAATCCAGGGATAGTATTTAGAGTAGCCAGAAGAATGGATCAAGTATTCTTCAGGCTGTAATCTCAGGAATATCATTTTTCTTAATTGTTACTTAATAAGTATTAATGAGTTTCAGAAAGCAGAATTAGAGATTATGCCTCTGACAGTTTCTGGAGTACAGATAGTTTATATCTTCAATTAAAAGATAATCCATACATCTAACTCTATCAAATGAGCTGAGGATTCTCCAGGGAGTTTAAGTGCAAGATGGCTGCATGGATTGATAATGAGATACAGAACCTTTACCCTTTTGATCACAAGGTCCTTGTAAGCTAGGATGTGGGTAACCAAAAGTGATTATTGGTCAATACCTTACAAGAGATGAAATGAATTACTTAATTCAGTTCAGTTTTTATTACCCTCGAGAGCTATTTGTTACAGGTTGTAGATCCAATGAGTGACCTTTACTTCTAAAGTTCACTTGTCCTGAACAGGATCAAGATTTTTTTTTTTCAAACCAAAACTCATCTACTTTTACTCAGTCTAAGGAAATAATTTAAAATTGTACACTAAATAGAAACATTTTACTTGGGTTTTTCTAAATTGCTATCCTGTTGTAAGCCAAAGTTAGTTGCCTGTGTCTTTTCCGGATAAAAAAGCTGTAATATCTTTTTCTCAGTATTGAAAACCATGTTTGTGCTGTGAAAATTATGCAGTTTCATTACTCTTTTTAGTAACTAATTGACTATCTGTGCTGGACCTTTTTGCCCTTTCACTAATGCAAGGTTGTGGAATTGTTCTGTGGTATATCTGAGAAGCAGATACTTTGTACTCCATATCAAATTCAATTGGGTTGCTACTGATTAAAGTTTTTTAGTTTAAATAACCTTATATTATATACTTTCTAATAGGTCATCAATGTACTCATAGAAATGAATGGCAAAAACTAAGGAGAGAAAAAATACTAAGAGCAAGTAGTTCATAATTAGTGGAAAAATAAGGCCTCATTTCAAAGTACATGTCTACAATAATATGTAACAAAACAGGTACTAGGTTTCACACTTTCCAATTTTGAAAGGAAACATTCCGTGACTGAATATTTAGCAGGAGTCTAACACCTTGCACAGAAATTTGACCCGCTTTACCCTTATCTACCTCCCCCTCTCACCGTTTTCCTTCTGGTAACCACTAAACTGCTGTCTGTGTCTATGAGTTTTTCTTTGTCTTATTTGTTTATTGGTTTCAGTTTTATATCCCACATATGAATGAAATCATATGGATCTCAACTCTTTATATCTTACTTATTTCCCTTAGCATGATAATCTCAAGATCCATTCACATTGTCAGAAATCTCAGTATTTCATCTTTTCTCATGGCTGAGTAATATTCCATTGTATATCTGTACTCCATCTTTATCCAGTCATCTAAGGGCATTTCGGTTGTTTCTATGTCTTGACACTGGTGTACTTTTGTACTACAGTAAAAGTACATAAGCGTTATATCTGATCCTATTTGAATGTATTTTCATGTGACTTCACGTTTTCCTCATATTCATTAGTGGCAAAATACTAATTACTCCCAATGACTAGAAGATCAGAATTAGAAAACAGCAGAAGCAAAATTCTGATTATTCATTCCATTAATTAGCTCTGGTAAAACTTCTAGAACAAAATTTAAAGTGAATTCCTGTATACCTGTGTAATTCAATTATTTATGCTTTTGTTTTGATTAGTTATGATCGAGATTAACTTCAAATAATGCTACAGCTTAAGTGTATTTATAAAAATAGGGTTTGATAAATTTTTGTTCCTAATTCAGCTTGTGATGTATGAAAGGACAGAGATACTATAAATGAGTGTTTGTTTATGTATGTGCACATGTATACAGAGTTGAATAATATGTGGCTCTTTGGATGGGGCACAGTGGGAAAGAAGTGTCACAAGTTCATTTCTCAATTTCTTTGTGTAGTCGAACAAAATGTTAAACTCTTTGATTCAGCCCATTCAAACAAATCCCATATTTCCCATCATCGACGTGAAGTTTCTCTTCAAAATCAGCAATTTACGAAACATGAGTGTACTTAGGGAAGCGAAGTTGCTTCATGTTTTTCTAATGGGTTTTCCTGATAATAATTGCCTTTGTTTTCCCATTTACCCTTAGCTTCGTCAGAGATCCTTCACCACTTACATAGATCCATCCTACCAGAGGTCGCAGATCACATACAACCTAAAGAAACAGGAAATCAGACTTCCTGAGTCCACTACAAAACACAGAAACCTGTTTCCTCTACACATCTCATATCGCCAAAGCTCTGTCTTAGCGGATACAGCGTGGAGGCAGCTGTTGAAAAGGCTGGAAGGACTTGATTCCCAACTTTATATGAGTTTTCTTGCTTCAAACTGCTGAGATGAAGGGAGTAAGGCTATTTGTCCTGCTGTCTAGTATATGGAGTGGGGGCTTTGGGCTTAATGACACTACACAGACTTGGACTACATCCGAGGATGAAAACTCCCAGAAGAATATGACCTCTGCTTTGGTTCCTCTAAATAAAATACAAAGTCTCCAAATGCTGCCAACCACTCAGATCATGTCAGCTGAGACAGCCAGTACTCCTGAGACAAGAACCTCTGAAGACAGTCTCCTGAAATCAGCACTGCTTCCCTCCGACAATAGCGCATCTCCTGGGGGTGTGAGAAATCTATCCCTAACGTCCACAGAGAAGACAGAAGAAGGGGAGCTGAAGTTTCAAACTCTTGCCCTCCCGACTGAATCTAGCATCAAGTTCAGTCCTAGAGCAGAGTCAGTGGTCCTTTCCAACTCCACGCTGAAATTTCTTCAGAGCTTTGTCAGAAAGTCAAATAACCAAGTGATTTCTCTAAACTCAGCTGGCTTTGTGGGAAATCGATCCCCACGGGAAACGTATCTCAGCAGAGGTGACAGCAGTGAAAGCCAAAGAACCAACTATCAAAAATCAAGCTTTGAAACAACTAGAGGAAAGTAAGGAAACTTCTTTTCTTTATCCCGCCTCCCACCCACCCCTCGCCAACTATAAGGTTTATAAGATTGCAAGCTAACAATTAAACTATCTCACTCCCAGAAAATGATTTCATGTTCAAGGCAATATTGGACCATATTTCAGTTAGATAAGGTAATTGAGTGTTACCTTATCTAATGGAGAAAAGATAAATGAAATGTAGCAGTTCTTTTTTAATTGAAGTTGTCAAAGTCACTTACAGAGATGCTTTTACTTCGGATAGTTACTAACAAAGAATGTAACACCACAGTGTTAGTTTAGTTATTTCAACACAAGGGTATGTTGTCTGTGTTCAAAAGTACCCTCAGAACATGAAAGAAAAAATGTCAATATAGCTGAGACATGAACAGATTTAAAAACTGAAACAGCCTGGTACTGTGGAAAGTATACAGTTATTGAGACAAACCAAGCAAAACTAGCTGGAATCTTGCTCCACTGCTGTCTAAATCCATGACTGTGAGCAGGTCAATTCATTTTCCTGAACCTCGGTTTCTTCATATGTACAATAGAGATGTTGTACAAGGAGTACAAATAAAAAATACCAGCTTTGCAAGGTTATCATGTAAGATTCATATTAATGAAATGTGCTTAGATGTGTGCTTCTTACAAAATAGGTACTCAACAAATCCTATTTTACTTGTACTGTATGTTGAATTATGCCATCATCATGAATGTGATGAATAGAAAAGCCAATTTTTCAAATTGATTTTGATGTATAGTTAGAGAAAGGTCAATTTGAATTGTTGGAGTAAAATAAAAAAGCAAAGCTTAAAAGAGCATCATTAAAGATGGCGTTAAAAAGAACCAAAAAAAAAAAAAAAAACCCTGAAAAATACAGGTCAATATTTTATTTATTTAATATTTAGAGTTATCTATATGTGTGGAATACTAGAAGTTTGGTGTTAGGAAACTAAACTTTCAAATATCTTTTACCTATGATAAAATAATTTCAAGACACCAAAGAATGCCTAGGTGAGTTAAATACCTTGCTAACTATATGTAAGATAATTCAAGCTAATAATAGTAGCTTATACCTGCTGTGTAAAAGGCATTGTGTTAAAGCCCTTGTTGATATAAAATTGAGACGACACAGGGAAAAATACGGGTCAACAGATTTGTATTCATGCATTTGTTATTATTCAAATCCACTTTTTGTTGTATTTCAAAGGTTATAGAACTTTTAAAAATATATAAGTAAATATGATTTTAATTAAAACTTTTTAACTTGGAATTTGGAACAATCCTAACTAACTGTAAAACAAAAGCTATAGGTTAGAAAATGTCCAATTTGAGATGGGTAGATTTTGTCCATAATAGACATTTTAACAGATATAAATTAATCTTTCTTGTGTTTAGGGACAACAGAATGTCGTTTATTAAATAATAATAACAAATGCCATTTATTGAGAGCCTTTTCTAAGTCACTTACATGATCATTTCTATTAATCATTTCAATAGACTCTATAATTTAATTTTTTAAATTGATTATATAGAACTCTTAGTCACTCAGGAAATAATTGGAAAGTAGAGCTGCTGTCATCAAGAGATTTTTCAGTAGAATAAGACATAATCAAAAGAAGGAGACAATTCAAATTAAAATTTAACAAATTTTATATAACATATAAAAAGTGGCATATAGTTGTTTCAAAATTAGAACTAGTAATTGATAATTTGAATAATATTAGTTTTTAAACAAGTTTTAGTTGTTTAATCCAAAGACTTCACTTTTAAAGCTTGTGAAATTAACCCTATTTATTTGATCATTCTTTGGTAATCTTTTCCATGAAGTACAAAATTTCTTACTCTTTAGTTCATGCAATTAATAATGGTATTACAGAAAATTTAGGTCTATCTTTTATGGACACAGTGTTGATGCAAAGAAGACTTGATAATAGCAAACACTTTATGGCATTTGTTCCTAGAACTTACTGTATGAGTGAATATTTAATCATTACTATAACTCCATGAAGAAGATTCTGTTATTTCTTTGCAGAGAAGTTAAGAAACTTAACTAAGGTCACTTAATTAGCATTTCTCAGGGCAAAGATTCAAACCCAGGCTGGCTGGTTTCAGAGACATAGCTTTCAATCCTTATTAGCAGTCCTCAATTTTTTTTGGCACCAGGGACCGGTCCTCCCATGAGAATCTAATGCCTGATCTGAGGTGGAGCTGAGGCAGTGATGCTGGGGAGTGGCTGCAAATACAGATGTAGCTTCACTTGCTCACCGGCCACTCACCTGCTATGTGGCCTGGTTCCTAACAGGCCATGGACCAGTACCATTCCACAGCCTAGCGTTGGGGACTCTTGTCCTACATTATACTCCTTCAGCAAGTACAGTCTGTTATCTCATCTTATGAGCTTTTAGAGGCTAGTCTTTGCCTCTAAGATAAAGTCCAGAAGCCTTACCCCAGTAAGTAATACAAGTCTACCTCCTGAACTTCATTTCTGTGACTTCTTGGCCATTAAAATTTGTAGTTCTTTGGTCCAGAATATGATGTTTATTAAACCTACCTTTATTCTGTTTGTTCTTCTAGCTAGCATGGTCTTCTTTTCCCATCATCTACTTTCTTTACACCTAAAAATAATATCTCCAAGAGCCTTCTCGGTCTAAGTTAGGTGGCCCTTCAAACTGTTCATATAGTTCTCTTTGAATTCTTGTATCACTGTACTACAACAGTGTATTTTAATGAACTTGTGATCTCCTCGTGTGTAGGGTCATACTTTCAGTGCTAGCAAAATCTCTGGCTGATAGTAGGTACACAAAAAATTTAATAAACTGAATGTAAAGTTTGTGGATCAATATATAAACATAAAGAAGAATCCTTCCCAAAGAAATATTCTTTTTTTCCTTTCCTTTTTTTTTTTTTTAATGCCTACGGCACCTGGTCTTCCTAGGTGGTCTCCCATTCAAGTACAAATCAGGCCTGACCCTGCTTAGCTTCTGAGATCAGACGAGATCAGGCACATTCAGGGTGGCATGGCCATAGACTCCAAAGAAATATTCTTATTCCTCTGTGATAAAACCTAGCTGATTGGGATAAACTCATTTGAGATAATTTGGAATAAAAAAACTTAATTTTTTCTTTTCCTACTGCTATTGGAATTTTATAGTGATTCTAAGTAAAAGGAATACTTATGTCTATAGGGTTTTTTTCCTGGCATATTTTTGTCTCATCTTGTCCTTTCTCATCTTAGCACTTCAGGAACTCCTGGTTACACCAGAGCTGTGGTTTCCTGTCTGGCAGAGTGGGTGTTGGTCAGTGACCAAGCACTTTGAATTAGGCAGGATAAAAAGAAGAAATTAGGATTAACACATTTATGCATTGAACAAGTATTTGCTGAGGTCATAATCTCTCCCCAGCACTACCTGTGTTGAGGGTGAAACAGTGAGCAAAAACTCTCACCTATCCTGCCCTCTTGGAATCTACAGACCAGTGAGAAGGGCATGGGGTGGAAAAACAGTGAATCACAAATGCTGATATTGAATTAAAATGGTGATAAACATTCTGAATGAAGCTTATGAGAGTATATAACAGGGTGAACGGCCTACGCTAAAGGGTAGTTAGTAAGCCTTTTCTGAGCAGATAATGGGGGAAATGAGCATTGGTACACATTGCTGACTACTTAACTTTTCCCACAACCCTAACATCTGCACACACGTCCTTGACTCTTCAGCATTTCAGTGAACGGCTAGTTGAAACTTTAGATGTATCCTCGGCACTATTTTTTTTCCCTTGCAGCCTTTATCTGATTTCTCAAGAAGTCCTCTTGGTAACCTCTCCAATGTATTCCACATCCATCAGTTTCTCTCCATCTTCACCACACCATCCTGCTCCTGGACACCATTATCTGCCACTAGTCTCCTAACTTGTCCACTCGTCCACTCTTGCCTCCTGTAATCCATGCTCCATATTCTCTTTTAAGAGATCTTTTAAACTTTTTTATTGAGTACATTTGACATATAACGTCATGTAAATTTAAGGTGTTTAAACTTTAAATCAAATTAATACATTTTATCGGATGAAGGAATTCATCTGTTCTGACACATTATACTACATACCAAAAAGAAAGAAAAGTATGACATCATTATTTCTTAGATTTATTTATCACTCAGACTTAGAGATTTTTAAAAATTATATATCACTTGTTCGTATACTTAAATAAAAATATAAATGACATTGGTTAAGGTATTTCTAAGGTAATGGCAATAACTATTGTCTGACCAATACTGATTGAAAGATACCATGGATTTCAAAATGTATTCTTGATTTCAGAGATGTGTGTTGTAAAATCTGTGGAATTTGGTATTTTGCTCACATGCTCAAAATTATTGAGTAGCTTTCCATTACATTTGGAATAAGATCCTAAATCCTTACCAGAGCCCACAGATCTTGCTTAACATGACCCTTGACTGTCTTTAAGATCTCATCTTCCATCTTGCTCCAAGCTCACTGCACTTCATTTTTTCCAGCCACACTGCCCTTTCTGGTTACCGAACATGTCAGGTTAATATGCAGCTCAAGGAAACTTCCTGTTTGCTCTTGCTAGAATGCTCTTCCTTTAGTATTCAGATGAGGGACTTTTCCTCATGAAACTTCAGCTTTCATGTCTCCGCTCAGAGACCTTCTCTGACTACACACTGTAAAGTCGCCATCCTTATCTTATCACTCTTATTTTTTTCTTCTTAGCACTCATTTGGTATTATTGGGTCTATTTAAGTAGATAGTTTTGTATTTTATGTCTTTCCACAATAGAATACACATCCCAAGAAAATAGAAACCTTGTCTGCCTTATTTACTATTCTATCCACTGCCTACGACAGTGCCAAGCACATAGAAGACAACAAAATTGTATAGAACGACTGATTACTGGATGAATTTGGAGATCAGAGCAGTGATCGACTAGAGATTTAAATTTGGGAAACATAATAAATATAGAAACATGGACACACTATTGAGGAGA